TTTTTTGAGCATAGAAAGTATTTACGTCTCTTTACCACATTATTGATCCCTTTGACATTTAATGTGATAATTTAAATGTTACTCATTATGTAGCGTGTTTATCTGACAAGAAAAAATAAAATAAGACAATTTAGCCTGATATAACACCACTGTATGTAAAAAAAGATCAATTCAGTATCATTTGACATAGAAACTGTGCTGACATAAACATATCCATCACCTAAAGATGGAAGAACCAGAACCTTCTCCATGCTCAGAGCACCATGCAAATATAAAGCCAGCATAAGAGCATGAAGTGTATAAAGTAACAAAACAGAACAAAAACCAAACGCTACCAGATGGGTAGTACTATAGGAGCACGTGCTGCCAGAAGGAGTCATCACCTCTGGAGGGGAGAAAGCAAAACAAAACAAAAATCCCTCCATATCCACTCCCGTCCCACAACATAAAGTTATTACATGCCTGTTATATTTGGCATTAATTACCATAAAGCTTCTATGGCCATAATATTTGAGAAATAAAAAGAGAAAGAAGAGGCCCCTTGATTGTTATCAATATTTTAGCCAGACAAAAGAAAGGCTGCTTCACACCAAAGACACACTTGGGAAAGACAAAATAGTTTAGCCATGCCAGTATTTAGATTATTACAGTCTTATATTTAGGTAGAAGAGAGCTATGGTTAACAAGTAACTACTGACCAGATTTATTCCAGTGTGTTGATAAAGTTATCTGCATCTCTCGGTGTTTCAAACTTGTGCTCTGCGCCGTTGTAGTTCACTGTCAGTGTAGCCGGGAAGCGCATGTTAAACCGTATGCCCTTGTGGATTAGAGCTTGACATACATTGTTAAATGCGCGTCGCCTCTCTCGAACCACAGACGATAAATCCTGGTGTATAAAGATCCGCTGTCCTTCGTATTCCAGGTTAGGCGTTGCCCTCACTGCTGCCATTATCTCGGCTTATCCCTGGAGTTGTGCAGACGGATGATCACCGGGCGAGGGCGTGCGCCTCGCGGTCCCAAACTCCGATGTGCCCGGTCAATTTTAATACGGCTTTTGGTACCGGGGCTCGCTTCTAGGCTGAGAACGGTGGGCAGCCAAGATTCAAAGAAGTCTATCGGCGCTTCCCCTCCGTGCCCTCTTTCAAATTGAGTACGCGGATATTATCCCGCCTGCTCCGGTTTTCCATGTCAACTATGCCATCAGCCATCACCTTCATTTTCTTCTCTGCGTCGGCGAGTCTTGCCTCCAGACCGGCCACCGTGTCCTCCACATCCGATACTCTCTGTTCAGCCGCGGTAATGCGTTTGGACTGGCTTTCCAGGGTCGTGGAAATTTTTTCCAAAGTCTCAGAGAACTTAAAAAGTTTATTTTCCAAAACGTCGCTAAAGTTCTGAGTTACCTCATGAATTAAAGCTGTGGCATCCATTGTAGGCAGGGTTTTGCCTCCTTCGTGCGCAGTGCTCGTTTGGCTAGCAGTTGTAGCAGCTGTTGACTTGCGTGGTTGAATTTTCGTCTGTTTCGACATCTCTTGTCACTTAAGGGTGTACCTTTCTTCTCGTTACAAGTTGTTACAACAATGTGTTGACATAATAAGCTAAACTGGATACATTAGACCGTATCAAATATAATCAAAATAGAGTGGGAGCGGGAGCTCGGTGAAAACACGTCCTCTAGCCAACCATCGTCACGTGACCCCAGCTCTGGAGTTTAACTTATGTAAGCCAAGAGGAGGAAAGGCTTTGTCTCGAATGATGGAGTCCATCATATGGAGAGGGTATCCTCTGGTGTCGGCAGACCACACTTGAAGAGAAGGAAGCAATGCCTGGTGATTGCTTTTAAAGACGTGAGCAGGCCTCCTCCAATGAGGATAGAGAATTCAGACACCCCCCCACTTTTCACACCTATTTGTTGGTTTCTGTTGGGGGGTTGCTGGGCTAAGACCCCTTTGTTCAGTTCCCTCCAAAATACTCTAGTCAGGCTTGAGAACTGTGATACAGGCCTGAGTCGCTTGTCCCATGCACATGGCTGAGGCCCAACAGCCACCAGCGTGCCCCAAAACAGAAACTTTTTTAGAACTTTATCTATTGTGAACGTACAAAAGTAGGAACATAGATTAAATATATGAACCCCAAAAAGGGCATAATATGGACTCTTTAATTTGATTTTGTGCATTTATTAATTTATCATTTTTATTTCCTTCAGTCACGCTCTGGAGTCGTACACCGCCCTGCCTTACAACCAGAGGAGCCCCTGCCCCCCCAACCCCATCAACCGCCCCGCCTACCAAGGCAGCAACCCCATCAGCGACGTCTGGTCCCGCCACGCCCTTAATGTCCTCGCCAAGTACATGAAACGGTAACAAAAAGTTGAAATCAGCAGAACCACAGAGGACCCGAACAGGTTCTCTGTGGAACTCCACTTAAGGTTTAAATCAAACAGAGCTGCTGTTCTCCTCGTTTACGAGAAGATGTCGGAGGTTTATGATGTGTTCAGGTTCTTTATCTGCGTTTCAGAATCAACACATTGAATAAAAACACAAAAAAACATAAATCTGTTGATTATATATTTCTTAATATTAAATGACAGTAAATAATCCCGTACTGTATCAAACAGAGACGGGCTAACTGGCTGATTTGTAGCTGAAGGCTGCTGTGTGAACTAGCGCCGTAAAGACGTACTCACTTCTCACCAGATGACCTCGACCCGCTGACAAAGTTACATAGTGCTGAAAACAGGCGAGCGGGGCGCTCTGTGGATGCCATGAGAGAGACGCCATCCTCCCTGTTGGTGCTTCCATTAGATCGACTGTTTGAAGGAGGAGGAGTTACAGAGTGTCGCTTTAGGATTTTTCCGAACCGTGAGCAGGATTCCTGTTAGCACGATGTGTGATCGTTTGTTTGTTTGCAGAGCGGTGCGGGACCCTGAGGACCTGGAGGCCCGGTCCAGCATGCACCTGGCCAGTGTGTTTGCTGGGATTGGTTTTGGAAACGCTGGAGTTCATCTGTGGTGAGAGAATCGTCTCTGCTCACGTTAACCTCCTGAACATTTACAGATGTCACTCAAAGCTAACACTCCAGATTCTGGCCTGCAGTGCCTACATGTACCAGGATGCTTTGCGTGCCACATCGGCACTTTGCTGCCACCCTGTGATTCTACAGACATTTATGATACGACAAAGTCAGAGAGATGCAGAGACGATGACCTCGTCTCTCAGCTCACAGTTTATTAATAACTCTTAAAAGATCATAAACTCTGCAGGTCGTCACCTCTGACAGAGAAATATAAAAATATTAATAAATGTAATAAAAGTATGCAGCGTCTCAGTGATCAAAGTGTTCCTCTGTGCAGTCACGGGATGTCCTATCCGATCGCTGGCAACGTGAAGACTCACTCAGCGAAGGGTTACAGCGTGGAGCACGCCCTGGTGGTGAGTGACGAGAAGACGACATGGACCAGCTGTTTTCTTATGAAGACGACGTTTAGTTAGAGAAATGTTTGCGTCTATAACCGTCAATAAAATGTGTGTGTGTGTGTGTGTGTGTGTGTGTGTGTGTGTGTGTGTGTGTGTGTGTGTGTGTGTGTGTGTGTGTGTGTGTGTGTGTGTGTGTGTGTGTGTGTGTGTGTGTGTGTGTGTGTGTGTGTGTGTGTGTGTGTGTGTCCTCAGCCTCATGGTCTCTCAGTCGTCCTCACGTCTCCGGCCGTCTTCAACTTCACAGCTCCAATGTGTCCAGAGCGCCACCTGGAGGCTGCAGAGATCCTTGGTATCTGTTCATAAAGCACAACACACACAAAACACAACCTGCACTCAGACAGACTCTGTGAGGCGTTCAGGTGCATTAACAGACTCTGTGAGGCGTTCAGGTGCAGCGACAGACTCTGTGAGGCGTTCAGGTGCATTAACAGACTCTGTCAGGCTTTCAGGTGCAGCGACAGACTCTGAGGCGTTCAGGTGCATTAACAGACTCTGTGAGGCGTTCAGGTGCATTAACAGACTCTGTGAGGCGCTCAGGTGCAGCGATAGACTGTGAGGCGTTCAGGTGCAGCGACAGACTCTGTGAGGCGTTCAGGTGCAGTGACAGACTCTGTGAGGCGTTCAGGTGCAGCGACAGACTCTGTGAGGCGTTCAGGTACAGCGACCTACTCTGTGAGGCGTTCAGGTGCAGTGACAGACTCCATGTTAAGGTACAGTTATAATCCCTCTGTGTTGCGTTCAGGTGCAGACATCAGTCAGGTGAAGCGGGAGGATGCAGGTCCTGTTCTTGCAGACACGCTGCGTCAGTTACTGTACGACCTGAAGGTGGAGGACGGACTCGCTGCTGTGGGCTATAGTAAAGACGACATCCCGGATCTGGTGAAAGGAACCATCCCTCAGGTGTGTTGTGAGCTCACCTGCAGCCTGTCATATGTCACTGTGGGGACTCAGGTGTGAGCTCACCTGCAGCCTGTCATATGTCACTGTGGGGACTCAGGTGTGAGCTCACCTGCAGCCTGTCACATGTCACTGTGGGGACTCAGGTGTGAGCTCACCTGCAGCCTGTCACATGTCACTGTGGGACGTTTGAGATAAAACTGTTTCTGTTTGGCTGTTTCAGGAGCGAGTGACCAAACTGTCCCCCAGAGAACACACCGAGGAGGACCTGAGCCTCCTGTTTGAAGCCTCTATGAAGCTATACTGACCACACAGACACACACATACACACACACACACACACACACACACACACACACACACACACACAACACACACTGTGTCTTTAAACTGATCTCCTGTCTGCTTTGTGTTGAGCTGCAGTTCCTCTAACAGCCACTAGATGGTACTGTTTCTCCTCTGACACTCACCTCTACCTCATTTTATATAAACAATGTTTCAATCAAAGACGGACTGGGATTCTTTTGTTGTGTGTGTGTCTCTGTGTGTCAATCATCAATCAATCAATTTTTATTTGTATAGCGTCAACTCATAACAAGTGTTATCTCGAGACACTTTACAAAAAGCAGGTAAAAGACCAACGATCTCAAGGTGCCAGTTTCCCCCCTAGTCTAAGCCTATAGCAGCATAACTAAGAGCTGGTCTACACCAGCACTAACTATAAGATTTATCAAAAAGGAAAGTTTTAAGTCTATTCTTAAGAATACAGACTGTGTCTGCCTCCTGGACCTCGGCTGGAAGGCGATTCCAGAGAGGAGCCTGATAACTGAAGGCTTTACCTCCCATAGTACACTTAGAGACTGTAGGTACCACCAGCAGGCCTGCGTCCTGGGACCGTTGTGGTCCCTTTTCCTAGTTCTAGTCAGTACATGAGCTGCAGCGTTCTGGACTAGTTGAAGAGTCTTTAGAGACCCACCAGAGCACCCTGACAAAACAGAATTACAATAATCCAACAAGGAGGTAACAAATGCATGAACTAGTTTTTCTGCATCATTTTGCGACAGGATATTCCTGATCTTGGATATATTACGAAGGTGAAAATAGGCTGTTCTTGAAATTTGCCTGATGTGAGAGCTAAAGGACATATCTTGATCAAAAAGAACTCCTAGATTCCTAACAGTGCTGCTAGATGCCAGGCTGATGTCACTAAGGACAGTCAAATCACTAGAAAAAGTCTCTCTGAGGTTCTTAGGGCCTAGCACAATAACTTCAGTCTTGTCTGAGTTAAGGAGCAAAAACATTTCTGGTCATCCAGGTCCTAACGTCCTTAAGGCACGTTTCTAGCTGACATAACTGACTGGTGCCATCGGGCTTCATTGATACAAAGAGCTGAGTATCATCTGCATAACAATGAAACTGTATGGAGTGTTTCCTCATAATATTTCCCAGAGGAAGCATATATAATGTAAAGAGAATTGGTCCAAGCACTGAACCTTGTGGCACTCCATGGCTAACTTCGGTGTGCATAGAGGACTCATCATTAACATGTACAAACTGAGATCGGTCTGATGAGTAGGATTCAAACCAACTTAAAGCAGTCCCTGTAATTCCAAGTGAATGTTCTAGTCTGTATAATAGGATCTGATGGTCAATGGTGTCAAAAGCAGCACTAAGATCTAACAAGACGAGCACAGAGAGAAGTCCCCTGTCTGAAGCTAGAAGTAGATCGTTTGTAACTCTAACTAGTGCAGTCTCAGTGCTATGGTGGACTCTAAATCCTGACTGAAACTCCTCAAATAAACTGTTGTCATGGAGAAAGTCACACAGCTGATTAGCTACCACTTTCTCCAGGATCTTCTAGATAAAAGGAAGGTTGGATATAGGCCTGTAGTTAGCTAGAGTTCCTGAGTCCAGAGTAGGCTTTTTAAGTAGAGGTTTGATTACTGCTACTTTAAATGACTGTGGTACATACCCTGCCAGTAAAGACGAATTGATCATATCTAATATAGAGTTGCTAACTAAGGGAAAGACTTCCTTAAACAGCTTGGTTGGGATTGGGTCTAAAAGACAGGTTGACGGTTTTGACGCAGAAATAATTGAATTTAGCTCTGAAAGGTCGATTGGAGAAAAACAGTCGAGACTAATATCTGGTCCTGGAACTGTCTCTGCCGTATCAGACGTATCTGCACCAGGTAAGGGCAGGAGGTTACCAATTTTGTCTCTGATGTCTAAAACTTTGTTGTTGAAAAAGCTCAGGAAGTCATTACTGGTGAGGGCTAAAGGAATACAAGGCTCAATGGAGCTATGACTCTCTGTCAGCCTGGCTACAGTGCTGAAAAGGTATCTAGGATTGCTTTTGTTTTCCTCGATTAGAGAGGAGTAGTAGGCAGCTCGAGCGTGACATAGAGCCTTCATATATCTTCTATGACTATCCTGCCAGAAAAAACGAGATTCTACCGTTTTGGTCGAGCGCCATATTCTTTCAAAATTCCGCGACGATTGTTTTAGAGTACGGGTTTCTGAGTTGAACCATGGAGTTAGTCTCTGCCGTTTGATAACCTTCTGTTTTAGGGGAGCAATCGAATCCAGAGTAACTCTCAGTGAATCCACTGCACTATCAACAAACTGATCTAGCTGAGAGGGACTAAAGCTATCATAAGAGTTTCCAATTGGGTTGAAACACGGTACTGAATCAAAAGCAGCTGAAATAGCTTCCTTAAATCAGAGCACTATCCGACAGACTTCTAGAGAGCACATTTTTATTAAGCAGAGATAATTCTGGCAGGACAAAGTCGAAAGTAATAAGGAAATGGTCTGATAGAAGAGGATTTTCTAGGAAAACTGTAAGGTTATGCCATAAGCTAAAACAAGATCCAGGGTGTGGTTAAAACGATGAGTAGGTTCGTTTACACCCTGGGTGAAACCAATAGAGTCTAATAGTGACATGAAAGCTGTGCTCAGGCTATCATTATCAACATCCACATGGATATTGAAGTCACCTACAACAATTATTCTATCACTGTTCAGGACTGAATCTGATAAAAAATTCTGCAAATTCAGTTAGAAACTCAGAATATGGGCCAGGAGGGCAGTAAACTACAACAACTAGAACTGGCTGAAAGGTTCTTGAGACTGGATGTGAAAGACTAAGAACGAGGCTTTCTAAAGAAGAAAAATTCAGTTTTGGTCGAGGGTTAACTAGAAGTCCAGAATTAAAAATAGTTGCTACTCCACCACCTCGTCCGGTGTCTTGAGGTATATGAGTACAAAATGACTGGGAGGAGTGGATTCATTTAAACTAACATATTCATCTGGACACAGCCAGGTTTCAGTCAAACAAAGTAAATCAATATGCTGATCTGATATCAGATCATTCACTAAAAGAGATTTGGATGCTAAGGATCTAATGTTCAAAAGTCTGCAGTGAATTTTCTGATTTTTTTGCAAAATCGCATTCGTAGTTTTGATTCTAATGCGATTTACGCCTTTTTTTTCTACGTTTGGATGACTTATAAAAACGGGTCTGGACCGGGGGACAGACACAGTACCTATAGTATAACTACAGTTCGATTCAGAATTACAGCTATAGTGACTGGGAGACAGATCTAAGGGAGGCGCCGAGAAGCGTGTAAGACTGCAGCTCTGCCTCCTGGTCTGAACTCTGTCTTGTTGTCAAGGTTTTGGACTAATAACCTCTGCTATGTTTCTAGATAATAGAGCTGCACCGTCCAAAGTGGGATGGATGCCGTCTCTAGCTAGCAGACCAGGTTTTCCCCAAAAAGACTGCCAGTTATCTATGAAGCCCACATCGTGTGCTGGACACCACCTTGACAGCCAGCGGTTGAGTGATGACATGCGGCTATACATGTCATCACTGGTCTGATTTGGGAGGGGTCCAGAGAACAGTACGGAGTCCGACATCGTCTTAGTACACATCGACTCCACATTAACCTTAGTGACTTCTGACTGGTGTAGTCGGGAGTCATTAGTGCCGACATGAATTACGATTGTATCAAATCTACCTTTAGTCTTTGTCAGCAACTTTAAATGAGATGCGATGTCGCCCGCTCTGGCCCCAGGTATACACCTAACTATGCCCGCTGACTTTGCTAGCTTCACGTTTCGGACTATGGAGTCTCCAATAATCAGAGTTTTATTCTCTGTGTGTCGCTGAGTGGGGAAAATTACTTTGAAACGTGAAGTGGTTGGTGGGGAACCGTGTGCTTCGATTTTCGACTATGCTTCCCTCGGACAGTAACCCAGCCACCGCCTCCCGGCTGCTCGGGAGCTACCGGGGGGGAAGCCAAGCTATGTCGGCCCGCACCGACTACAGGTGGCTGGCTAACTACTGCTGCATACGATGACTCTGACTCAATGGTGCAGAGCCGTCTCTCTAATTCAGACACCCTCGCCTTCAAAGCTAAAAATAAACTACATTTCTTACATGTATCATTATCACTAGAGGACGAGGAGTAACTTAACATCTGACATGTAGAGCAGGAGAGAGCAGGAGAGGGAGAGACAGAAAAAGAAGCTAACTGCTAAGCTAGGCTAAGAGTAGGTAGCTAAAATAAACAAAACTGTGAAGCAGGTCTCTGTATGTGTGTGTGTGTGTGTGTGTGTGTGTGTGTGTGTGTTTCTCTGTGTGTGTGTGTGTGTGTGTGTGTGTGTCTCTGTATGTGTGTGTGTGTGTGTGTGTGTGTGTGTGTGTGTGTGTGTGTGTGTGTGTGTGTGTGTGTGTGTGTGTGTGTGTGTGTGTGTGTGTGTGTGTGTTCTCTGTATGTGTGTGTGTGTGTGTTTCTCTGTATGTGTGTGTGTGTGTGTGTGTGTTTCCCTGTGTGTGTGTGTGTGTGTGTGTGTGTGTGTGTGTGTCTCTGTATGTGTGTGTGTGTGTGTTTCTCTGTATGTGTGTGTGTGTGTGTGTGTGTGTGTGTGTGTGTGTGTGTGTGTGTGTGTTTCTCTGTGTGTGTGTGTGTGTGTGTGTGTGTGTGTGTGTTTTCTCTGTATGTGTGTGTGTGTGTGTTTCTCTGTATGTGTGTGTGTGTGTGTGTGTGTGTTTCTCTGTGTGTGTGTGTGTGTGTGTGTGTGTGTGTGTGTGTTTCTCTGTGTCTCTGTGTGTGTGTGTGTGTGTGTCTCTGTATGTGTGTGTGTGTGTGTGTGTGTGTGTGTGTGTGTGTGTGTGTGTGTGTGTGTCTGTGTGTGTGTGTGTGTGTGTGTGTGTGTGTGTGTGTGTTTCTCTGTATGTGTGTGTGTGTGTGTTTCTCTGTATGTGTGTGTGTGTGTGTGTGTGTTTCCCTGTGTGTGTGTGTGTGTGTGTGTGTGTGTGTGTGTGGTGTGTGTCTCTGTATGTGTGTGTGTGTGTGTGTTTCTCTGTATGTGTGTGTGTGTGTGTGTGTGTGTTTCTCTGTGTGTGTGTGTGTGTGTGTGTGTGTGTGTGTTTCTCTGTGTGTGTGTGTGTGTGTGTGTGTGTGTGTGTTTCTCTGTATGTGTGTGTGTGTGTGTTCTCT